GCAGTATTGGAGGTGGAAGATACCTGGACGTGTAATGTTAATTTTACCTGTGATCCTTTGAATAAACCAGCACGGTTTTTTATATCCAAGTGGACTGCCTCGTCTCTCTGAGTTCCTGGTTAAGAGAACTGGGGAAAAAAAAGCTTTCAGGGCTAAAGGCTCTATTCTATTATAAAGCCACGTCCGGTTCTTTCAAACCAGGAACTCAGTGAGACGAAGCGGACCACTTGAGTATATAAAAAAAATATAACCGTGCTGGTTTATTCAAAGGGTCACAGGCAATATGCCAGCTATGCAGCTGAGCAGAGCAGTAGTCAAAACATGAAGAAAATAATGTGTGTGAATGTTGATTATGTGGTGTGTATCTAAAAACATACAGGACATTCAGGGACATGTCCGAACAGTAAGCCTCGGAAGATATTATGATTAAGATTAGGCTGAACATAGCAATAATAATAGCAATATTCATCCTGCCTGCAGACTCTTCAATCTAGTTGACCTTGAGGCCCACATGCAGCCTGCAGCAAGCTCATGACAATGAACTAAGCATTTAACAGCCTGAGCTAGACATCCTGGCTACACTACCATTTTCTAATAAAACAGATCTCTAATCAATATCTATCTAACTAAAAAAAAACCTAACAGGGCCAAACGGATAGACAACCCGAAAACACTCCAGCCACAGCTGTTGCCTTCACTGAGGCATAACAATCACTCGAGAAACAAACAGGACCAAGATACAGTGAAGAGGCTGACCTTCAGTTTGACCATGTTTATTTTCCTTGTTTATACACATTACAGCTGTATTGATGATTGTCCAGAACTGCTGAGCCTTGGTTACTATTAATACATTTATTTTCCTTGCTTATATGTCTTATCACTTGATTCTCATCAAAACAATTGTAATGAAGTAGAATCTGCTTACTTTGAATGCTGTAACTTCTGTGAGGATTGCATCTCCTTGTGACCAGACAGCCCATTTACATTTTAGCTAAGGCCTGTTGGCCTGTTTTGCACTCACTCCTCGACCCACTTAGCATATCCCAAGCTTTGCTTTGTCTTGGGATGTCCTGCAGAGGCCGGGGGCTACAACCTGAGATGACCACCTGGCCGGTTTAGCATACTTATTAGCATCACACACACAGGGGGCCTGCAACCCAGACCACCCATTGATCAGTGCACCTTGATATCAAGATCAGGGTGC